AATTTTATTTTATGATGATGTAATATTTATGCTTACACCAAAAAACGTGGCTAGTTCTTATCTTTTGAAACTAATTAAACGAAATTAGGAAAATTAAAAAAATTTTTTTTACAAAATAAGATACAGTAGCATAGAGCTGATTGGCTTTAAATACTAACAAATAAATGTTATGATGATACCATGGAGAATGTTATAAATATATGAAAAATAAATATATTAATATTAATATATTTTTTACATTTACATATTTGGTTTACTAGAAGTAATTTTTGATCTTTTTTTTTTTTTTGTAAAAAAAAAAAATAAACCAATAATTTATCATTAGTATTAGCACATTATTATTTATTGTTTTTATCGTTATCCATTTTTGGTAGAAAGAAAAGAAGGGTTGGAAAATTGTAATTATTTTTTAAATAATATTAATATAGATAATTAGTCGTGTATGCATGTGTTGTTTTATTTATTCATGCAATAATAAAAAATCAAAAAATTAATTTATTATGATGGTAAATTATAAATTACTAAATTACAACAAATGCTTCAAAGACTTCAACAGGTAGTATCTCATTTTTACTTTGCATTTAGCTGACTTCATTTTACCAAAGATTCACATTATTTTCAACTCCCACACGAAAAAAAAAATAATAATCAAAAGCATTCGTGATACAGATTCTCATGAAGTAATAAAGAAGCTGTATGTTACGTTATAATAAATAAAAAAAGTTGTTAATTCGAATTATTTGTTTTATTCGAATTAATAAAACGAACAAAACGAATAATTCGAACAATAACAAAACGAATAATAGGTCATGATAAATAAATAGCATAATATATAGATAGTAAAAAGATTATATAATTTGATTCATTCATTCGTATGTGTGCGTGTTCTATTTTACAAATCAACAAAATTGCATTTTCTATTTTTCCCTCTTATGTATATTACCCACATTGTTTGTTTATTGTTCTTTTTTTTCGATATCTTTTATTACTTATTAATTAATTATTATTATTGGGTTTAATATAATTATTATATATGGCGTGTATTGTCTACAATATATTGTTTATAATATGTATATACATGCATGTGAACATTCATATTTAGAAAACAAAAATAGTTCCAAATTTGATTCTGATAAAATAGTTGATAGATGTTGATGGTTAAAGATAAATTGTTTACTAGACAAATAATGTATTAACGAGATCTATTTATTGATTTTCCTTGGTAAAAAAATAAAATTTGTTTTTTACGCCCAAAAGTTTTTTTAATAATCATATGCAAATATATAAAAATAAATTTTAATAATCCCTTCTCCTCTAAATATGATTTAATAAAATTTCTTTGTATATTATCTTTCAATAATATTATTAATAGTTATAACAACTAAAGCAATATATGATAATTATGATGATGATAAATTATAAATTACTAAATTACAATGCTTCAAAGACTTCAATAAGTAGTAAATCAATTTAGTTGTATCTCATTTTTACTCTTGTATTTAGCTGAAAATGTTAGTGTGACTTTATTTCACCAAAAATTTACATTACAATTAAAGTGGGCCTTTTCATTTTAAATTTCTAACGTTAGATTTTAAAAGCTGATAAGAATACTTATACCTAAAGAAGTTTGCTTTCTTTTTTTTTTTTTTTTTTTTGATAATCGAAAGGTTATGTAAATATTATTATTGATTGATTGAAGAATGGGAAAATTACAGGATTACTTTACACATATGTATATTATATATATACTATATTAAGCTTGATTATACAGGCGAGCGATGTGTACATGATCAAATGTGCTGTGTATTTTCTTGTAACGCGTAGTTAATGAATGACAATTTTGATGATTTTATTGATTGAGGTATGTGTGTGCATATACACATCTAAACTCGATAAGTCGAACGCAGCAATCAATTGTTTAAAGTACTTTATAATATAAATAAATGTCCGACTTGTCGAGTTTAGATGTGTAATACTAAAACAAATATGTGATGATTACCTTATTATTTAATTTAAATTAAAGGGTTGGTTTTGACAAAAAACTCCATATCACACAATTTCTAATTAACATTAATATAATTTTATTTTATTTTAATATAATAAATAATAGTAACTTTTTCATTGTCTTTTGTTTTTTATTTTTTTAAAAGAATTCATATATATATTATTCTATATTATTAGCATAATTAAATCTTGATGGTTTGTCACGGTTATTAATCGAAGATTCTTAATTGAATTTAGAAAAAACCACCTAATAAACGTAATCAATGATTTAACTTTTTTCTTCTTAATTTACATTCCTTAATTTCATGGTGATGAATATAAACATGCAGATTTGATAAAATTATATTTCATTTATGACATTATCTCTTCGATCATGGAATATTTAAAATAGAATTTGCACCGCTGCTATATGTTTTGACATTTGATCTTACCTCCTATGCATTTTATATTTTATTATATACTCGTTTTCTTGCTATATATGATAAGTAACTGTGCTGTTGTTAATTTTAATCTTTCTTATTCTATTTCATATTCTTAAGGGATCAATCATCTAAAGAAAGTTTTATTAGTAATGAGCGGGTTTGTTTCATTAAACATGCCTTACTATTTACAATAATAAATTTAGACGGATGTTTCTCTGTATCATAACCATTAACTAATCCTTCTTTCCAAACATCACTGCATAAACACCAATTTTGCCCAATTGATATCATCAAATCTTGGCCACTATTAATTATAGACTTATATTATTGCTTTATCACCAGGAAGAAGCAACGTGCTAAGTTCTACTTTACTGTGACAAGAATATCTTTGGGCTATATGAATATCTGTTTGGGAAAAAGGCTCCATATTTTGACGTTAAAATAATGCTTCTTTCAGAGGTTCCGCATAAGTGAGATGGTGACTACAAAAATTAATGATCAATTTTCATGATTTTTGCAAACTTCTGTAAAAATCTCCCAACTCAGAGCGTAAAGAATCAGACATGGGTTTTAGATTTTTATTAAATGCTTCAACAAACTTGACTTTTGTCCTACAAAAAGTTTGGATATTTGTTTTTTTTAAGTAATACTAGCGATGTTAGTCTGTGGAAAAACTTTGTCGACTAAATCAAACAACTCTAAACTAAAGTTGGTGTCTGTAGATGTTTTCAACTGCAGATTTTAAAGCTCGAGTTGCAATCTTTTCTGAACCTCTACAACCCCTGCAACTGCCTGCAACTATAATTATGATGACTTAGGATCAAAAATGGAATCACATAACTGCAAAATGGGATTTATTGTTTTAAATAAAATCATATTAAAAAATTTTTTTTTGATAAAAATAAATTTAGTTTTATAGTGATTGAAGTAGCTGACCAACCAGAGGTTGCAGACAATTACAAACAGTTGCAGACAGTTGCATACAATTGCAGCAGTTGCAGCAGTTGCAGCATTAGATTCAATATTTTTTTGGGTCGCAACCTCCTGAGTTGCAACTTCCTAGTTGCAGAGCCATCTTTACTCTAAATCTACTAAGAAAGAACTTTGATAAAATAATTTAAAAACTTCTTAGATGGTATTATCATTACTACTATTTATTATTGTTATTATTTAATCTCCTAATTCACCGCCATCATTGTTATTTAATGGTTCACTAACTGTTAATAGAGTTACTATTCGAATAAGGTTATTTGATTTATTCGTTATGAATTTGAATATTCATTGAAAATTTGTTCGAATAAAACGAATAATAATAAAAATTTTTATCACCAATAGAAAACTTTTATTATCTTTTATTTTTTTTAGAGCAAATGCATGTTTTTTCTAAGTAATGCATATCAACCAAGTGCCTATGCCACTGAGTTCTGGATTAAAATTCCAGACGTAAAAATGAATGTTAAAAGAAATTTTTTTTTTTAGTCACATCACTACTTAATTTGCACTTTAAAAAATTTTAATTCGTTAGATTCTTAAAACACACACATTTCATAGCATACATATTAAAATACGGCTTTCAATAACAAAATAAATGATCATAATGGGAATAAGGAATATACAAAAATAATTATAGAAAAATGCAAACTCGATTCTATTTTTCTTTTATAAATCAAAAAAGATTCGGCTGAAATTCCATCAATTTCCTCACTTTCTACCAGAAGATCTCAAAAAACCAGAATGCATTGGCAATTTTATTTTCCTGCGGATATTCCAAATACAATAAATATGTCATTCACACCATTTAATTCCATTACAAAATGATCAATTGTTCACTATTTCATAACGGATGGCCGAATCCTGCAGTTTTACCCGTCACATACCCAGAGTACGATAGGGTTTGAATAAAATATGTTGTGACCATGTAAATGTGGTGGTAATCGTATCTGATAATATTTGGTTAAACAGTCAAATTAACGACACTTTATGTTTGAATGAAATCTATATTTTTAGCATTTCTAATTATTTTTTATAAGCATTCCTAATTTTTTTTTTTAATAAATTGTATATTATATGTTATATTCCTTTCTTTTTTTTTTTTTTTTTTTTTTACACTTTAATTTCCTTTAAAAAAATTATTCATG